AAAGTCTCTTGCGGTGCTAAATTTGTACCTCAATACTTCAATAGGCTGTTGAAAAGCGTGTCTCTCTGTAGCAACGCTTTTATAGTTGTTATACCGACGCCAAAGAGTAGTGTCGTAAGATGGTCTAGCGACACAAGCAAAGCCAACACTTTTACAAGAATCGTAAAATGTACTAGCGACGCTTTTTAGCACCTTTGAAAGGCTATATAGTTCATTTTTCTACTAGTGACGTGAGCTCAGACTCTATCCACCTACAAAACCCGTTGCCAGACTCCGTGCTCGTCCGCACCACTGAACAACGGTGAAGAGCGATCGGCACTACGTGCGGCTGCCCAATCTCAAATTAAAGGTTGACAGAAAGGAAAATCCTACCTAGAGGAAACGGTCTCCCTTCCGTAATCGTTTGTCCGTGTATATTTTAAAAAGAAACCATTCTTGGTGTATACAAAATTTGTGCACAAATTAATTATACATTGCCTATGCACAGAGGCATTTTGGCATAAAATCTCACCTTTTTTTCAAACGAATTGTGTACACAGGTAATTGGGGAAGTTGTGTACAATTTGTTCACTAATTATGTGTACGACAAGATTATTTTTAAAAAATATTTTCCCATCTCTGAGAGCCCCCTTCTCCCACTAGTGACCAGCTAGACAGTTCATTAGGAGAATATAAATTTGATTTTAATCACAGACGATAGATAGTGAGTGAAACTCTGGTCCAAATATTTGTAGAGGTTCTATGTATTTTGCATCGTAACCTCTCGTCACAGTTGTCAGGAATCAAACACAAGATTCATCCCTTGTGGCACCCCTATTTCCATGTGTTGTAGTGTCATTTGCCCACTTAGGCAAATGTTCTGTACCTTTACTACCTTCGAAATAATAAAGGCACCATTAAGATTTTCATCTTTTTTAACGAGTTTCCATTTATGGTTGTTTGCGGGGAGGATCTAGGGCACTGAGTTGGAATAGGTCGGTACAAAGAATATTTTCTGAAAAAATAATTACATATGAATTTTTACCTAAAAATTTAAGTATTTTGGAAATTTTGGGTAGGTTGGAGCCTAGACTGACCCCTAGATCTGTCCCTGGTTTTTCCAAATTGGCCATATTTGTGTTTACAATAATGATACTCCGTATAACATTTACAACTGATATATGGTTGAAGCATATCTAAAGAAGCAATACACGGTAAACAATGTCGAATCTAAGTAAGCTTTGGGGCTACAAGCCAAAAAGGGATGTTTGGAAAATGATGTTTTAACGACTGAATTGGCAAATTCAGACAATCTAGTCAATTTCATTAAGAGCCCGTTTCATAATATTGAAATTGACTGAATCAGTTGATTTTGTTGAAATTTTTAAAGTTCTGACTAAATTAATTAGATTGGAATTGTCTGAATTTGTCGATTAATGAAATAATCTTTATATATATAAAAAGAGGACCGTGTGTCCCCTAACTGTTCCCGCCTAAGAAACTCCTGTGATCAATAACTGACTAACGTACGGCACTTCTTCTGAGACTTTGATAACTGCCCATTATAATTTGTAACATGGCTTCTAAACCGGTTATTTACCTACGAGCACTCAGAAAAGATTCATTTGCTCTCCACTTTACTAGCATATTATTGGTAAGTTCATTATATGATTATATCAACTAAATTCTTTCGAGTACATTTATAATCAAGCATGAGTTGATTCATCTATTATCCATGAGATGAATCAAGCATTCAGGCATGAGTATATATGTACAATTGGGGCTTGAAGCTTTGGACGGACCTTTGGTTAGCAGGGCGTAAGAGTAGAAGTACCCTGCATACTGCATATTGAGAGGTATATTCATATGCACTTACTATTCAAATCTAATGCACTTTCATAGATTATGATACATTGACTTAAAAACCTTGGTATTGTAATGTTCCGATCATTTGATGATCAGAAAACTTTTAAATAAAAATGTGGCTCAATACATGGCCAAATGAAGATGATTTTATATGTTCATATATACTCCGTAATAAATTAAATCTACTTGGCAAGTACGTAGACTTTACAATCTAGGAAATATCCTAAATTGTAAATGTTTGGTCTCATGAATAAACATCATCATACCCTAAAAATAGATGGATTCAAAGATATATGTGAAGAATATTAAGATAGGAACAAGAGATAAGAATTGAAGAACTTAACTAGAGAGAAAGAGTGTTTTGAATTGAAAGATATATAGACACACTTAGGGTTGATGTGAAAATGGGCCTGTCAAGTTATATACGTAGTACTTCGTATGTATATACAAACGTACGCATGCCATACCACAGAGAGATAGAATATTGGGCTGAAATTAGCATGCCTGTCCTGGTAAAATAAGAAAGGAGTACTATGGTGTATTTAGGATTTTATTCAATGTAAAATGATCTAGCATACCAATAGTTACATGTTGCTGCTCGCCTGCTCACGACTCACTAAAAGGATAAAATTAGTGATCAGTGTACAGTCATAGAATTTCCCAAACAGTATACTTAAATTTGTTTTGTAAAGTTTTTTTTATTTATGTTTCTATATATCATCAGCTTTGGTCTTTTTGTATAAAAGAATTGGGCAAGTTTTTTTTTTTTAATTTGGCCCGTGCAACTGTGCAACAATTATAACTACTACCTTAGTTCTTAATTAATAGTCTCCTCGGTTTTTTGTGATTTTTAGAATAAAATAGTAAGAGTAGTAAAGAGGGTGCAAGATAAATGAAAAGTAGGAAAGACAACATATTAAGAAGGGTAAAATAATAAAAAGTATGAAAAAGAAATAGTAGAAAGTATAGTGTATAAAAGTATTTTGATTGAAAAAACTTACTATAAATGAAAAGATGGACAAATAATAAAAAAACATTTCAAAAAGGAATATAAGACAATTAATAAAGAACGGAGGGAGTATCACATGCCGAGTAACACATACGGAGTATCCAACACATTCAAAATAAACATATCTTTATCATGACTTTTAAATAGTTATATAAAATATATAAATATCATTGACCCGTGCATCGCACGGGTACGATACTAGTTTTTTATTAATATGTAATCAGTCAAAGTTTACCTCTTTGATTGTCAAATTTGCCTAAATAAAAAGGGATGAATGGAGTATTATTTTTACTCCTAATCCTATATTTTCCCATAATCATTACGGAGAATATTAAAAATTGATTCACTTTTTTTTTTTTTTTTGCAAGGGATTCACTTTAAATTCCCATGTGGTCCTGGGGTGTCAGCACTTCTCGATGGATCAGTTAGAGAAACATGGGGCATGTGATATGTTGGTGACACTTATAGCCTTTAGTTAGTTGATGCCACACAAGTATGGAACCTTATCTATTCAATTCAAGGGAAACACATGCCCGGCCGGCCGGTGGATTACATTTCATTGCTTCGATCGATTTAGTAATAAAATTTTAAAGGAATTGACCCACAGAAAAGCCATCATTTTCATTTTTCATTGAAGGGACTGAGTTAAGGACTTACTTACAAAATCAAAATCAAAATCAAAATGTTCACTGGCTCGTTCACCGAGTTTATTCCCACATTCTTCTCCAAATTTTTGGAACTAATGCTCCAAAAATATGAACCAATTACATGTTTATAGCTACAATAAAAGTTGTTTATGAAAATGTGATTTCCCAGTATACTTATTATATATAAGTAATTATATATATATATCATAGTAACTTATGCTTAATTTTTTTTAAATGGCCTTGACACTAATTATATAGTTACTATTAATAACATTTTTGTAAATAAATTTTATTTCAGTAATTTTTATTCAATTCCCGTGAAAAATTTAGAATGATCCAAAACTATGTACATTTTGGTTCACGACAGTGCACCATCCGAAGTGGAAGAAAAAGTTTAATTAATTTGTCAACGAAATGCTACCGCAATATCTAGTTTATGGGCATTATGGCATTGCACAATCTTATTTCATATAACCCACAACTCTCAAATCTAGCACACTAGATTGAATATTGTATAAATTAAACTCGAATTATGTATTTTATTAGTAAAAAAACTCGTCGTCTTTGCCATCAAACCACATGTCATGAAACCCTATGTATGTATTTTTTTTTCTTCCAAAGCCCATATTTGTATAAATTAAACTCGAATTATGTATTTTATTAGTAAAAATTTTATTCTTAAAATATTACCCACATACGATAGTATTATTTAAGAATATGGCCTAACTTTGAACATAATTATAATCAATAAAGTTACTAAGTTACATTATTTGTCCAATATTTTCGATTTGGTCATATATTATGAATTGTTTAAAAAACAAAGAAGCAAATCCTAATTAATTACTCCGTAGTAGCTACTTTTCTATATATATACGGGAGGCATTTCACATTTGCACGTCTTGCTATAACACAACTATTATTGGAAAAACAAACTGAAGTGACAATGTATTCTTTTATTTAGAGATTATTGTGTGGATATGATGTGGATAGAAGTTACCGTAAATGAAATGTCAACGGAATGAAGTACACTTGGTTATACAACGTAACTGAAATAACTAATGAAAAAATGTAAATTTACCATAAAAATATATAATTGTTTTAATAGAAATTCACAAAAATTTGAATAATGAGAGTAACTAATATTTATAGACTTGCATTTACCCCTTCCATTCTACCCTTTTACCTAAAAATCAACCATTAAGGGTAGAATTGTAACTTTATCATACTTTCTTAGTGTTTAAGTACAAAAGGTTCGAAATTTTGGCTTTATAAGCAATTATTAATTACATGTATCAAATTAAGTGTCTGCACTATAATTAACTTTACATGATTACATCTAGTTTAGGATAATTTATACATTTATTTTACACTCATTTAAAAAGTAGGAGATTCTTGGTATTGTAGTAGCATTGTTTATTTTATTAAAGTTACTAGCCAGTAGCCAGTAGCAACTTTTAGGTGAGTTTCTTTTCGAAATTGGAAGTAAGGCATTTATTATGATATACCCAAAAAAGAGAAGTGATACTTATTTTGATGTGGAGGAGTACTGGAGTACATATATAACAGCGGGCCAGTGGAGGCTGTGGAGTAGTGGAGCTGCATGTTCTCCTCTTATGAATGAAGCTAAGCTCCTATAGTTGATGTGTAAACATCTTATTGCATCTATATATCTACCATTCGACATTTCGGCCCCAACATTAAAGGAAAACAATCTTTTCTTTAATACTCCGTATTTGTAAATTTCATTTGTTATTTTATTGATTTGTTTCAATTCCTTCCTGCCGAGGCCTATATAAAGCACGTCCAACTCCACCAGAAATCCTCACAAGTATATACTCTACAAAGTACAAAAAGGAAGAAAGTCTTGAATAAGTAGTGAGGTTTAGTTATTAGTAAGATCAATATATATCCTCACTAAGCTAGCTAACAACAATGGCAACTAAGCATGTTTCAGCCCTTGTGTTCTTTGCCATAATCCTTGCCTTCTCCGTGCTTTCTGCCATTGCTATGACTTCCATTCCTCAATCCAATTTTGATGTAGTAAGTGTCTTCATGTTTTTTTTGCCCTTTTAGAGCTGTTCACATGTGTTACTTACTGTATATATGAGGTTTGCCATCCTAACAACTCATCTATTATTGATTATTGTATCAGGCACGTTATGGTCCCGGAAGTTTGAGGCCCACACGTAAGTCATTTGCACTTTAAATATGAAATCTAAGTGGCTAGGAGATTTATATATTTAGAGTCCTTTTGGTAACACTGAAATCAGGAATTGCCTAATTCTACTGAAATATATGAAATTCTGTCTGAAGTGGTTATATTGGCTGATTCTGCTGATTTATGAAAAAATTGTATCTAATGAAGAAAAAATTAAATGAAAAATAGATAAAATAGTCATTTACAATAACTTCAACCATTGCAGCCATAAAAGTAACTTCAGTTTTACTTTTTCTTATTATTACATAATTCAGTGTCCAAAATCAAAAGTTACGTGTTTGGTTAAAAAATCGACTGATAAGTCGAAAAACAGAGTCACCAAACGGACTTTTATTCTTCTAACTTTATCTAGTAAGGTGTTCTTCTAACTTCTATCTATCTAACTTGAATCTTGTAAAAATGACAAGAGAAGGCTTATTCTGGCAACATTCTTGTTGTGGGACCTTTTGTTCTGGCAACATGGGAACTCATAGTGGTATACGGGCATACGGCCGAACTATATAGCTTTAAGTTGTTGTTCACTAGAATTAAAATTTCATTGAAATTGCCGCTATTAAGGATCTTTTTTTTTTTTGGAAAAGTCCTTGACATGGACAATTTATTAACTAGAGCATAGACGAAGTATAAAAAATGCAAATGATTAAAGTTACATGATTAATAGTGGACACATGTAAAGTATAAGTTTTTTTGAAAAGATACATGTACTACGGTATAAGTTACGGGGCAAATATTGATCACTAAATCAAGATTAGCGTAGCTAACTAAATCACTATATTGATCACTTGACATTTTTAACCCTCATGTACTCTAAGGCCTTGTTTGGTTCAAAGGAGGAGAGGGAAGGGGGGAGTCAAGGAGGGAAGGGAAGGGAAGAGGAAGGACGATTTTGATAAAAAATTGTGTTTGGTTGGAGGAAATAGGAGGAAAGATTTAATGAAAATATTTTCACAATTTATTTTTATTTGATAGCTTATTTAAAACACTAGATACATCTCTAACTATTGTGAATATTGCTCCTATGGTCATGAGTCAATTTTTTTTTTAAATTTTTACTCTTTTAATTTTATAATTTTTTATTTTTTAAATTTTTAATTATATACTCCCTCTGTCCCGATAAGATTGTCCCATATTAGCTTTTTGGTTCGTCCCACTAAGATTGTCCTATATCAAATTTGGCAAAGTTTGTGTGGTTCTAAATCATTCTTACTTTATTATTACTTTATCAATTTAATATCAATCACATAAACCTCTTTTTATTGGTTTGTGTGTCACTCCCCTTTGTCCCATTGTTAGTAATTTTTTAATTTTTTAATTTTTTAAATTTTTTATTGTTTTGATTTTTATTTTTCTATTTTTTTAGTTTTTAATTTTTGTTTTTTTTTAATATTTAAAATTTTTAATTTTTAAATTTTTAAATTTTTTAATTTTTTAAAACTTTTTTTTTATATTATACTATCTCTGTCACGGTGGACTTTGCCAAGTGCAAAGTTCGTGAGAAATAAGAATAGTAAAAACTGTGTGGTTGAGATTTGTGCAGAGGAGCGCCGAGAGAGAATTGTGTAGAACCACAAATTACTTGCATTAATAGAAAAGTGACAAAGTTCTTTGGGACAACAAAAAAGGGAAAGTTGGCAAAGTGCAATGAGACGGATGGAGTAACATTTTGTCCATTCACGTAGGAGATGGATAGTTTGTGACTTTGTGGTTATCAACACGTTTCCTCTGAAATACCCCGATTTGAGAGATTTAGAATAGGAGGAAGTGGAGGATTTTGGAAGCCTTCCACTTTCCTCTCTTTCTCTCCTATTTCCTTCAACCAAACACACACAAATCTCTCACTTCTCTCTCCTCCCCTCCGAAACCCTTCAACCAAACAGGGCCTAAGAAGTTGGTCTTTAGAATGAAGTCAAGGAGATCCATTTCACTATTTAAGTCACATTTCCAATAGAAAAAAGAGAAGCATTCATAAATGTATGAATGATGACAAGCTAAGGTATTATATTGTTTGAATATGCAATGCAGAGTGTTTGCCGCAATGTACAAGGAGGTGCAGCCAGACACAGTACCACAAGCCATGCATGTTTTTCTGCCAGAAATGTTGCAACAAATGCCTTTGTGTGCCCCCTGGTTTCTATGGCAACAAGGCAGTTTGCCCTTGCTACAATAACTGGAAGACCCAGCAAGGAGGACCAAAGTGCCCTTGATCTAGATATAAAAGAATTACACCACTTTTTTACATCTACTTATAATTTCCATCAATTACTTCACAATTAATCCATTTTCAAGATGTTTTAAGAAATAACAATCCTAAATACTTTCTATATAAGATCGATCGATATAAGATCGATCGATAACCATGTTGTTATTTTAAATGTGATTTTGTTCACAAATTAAGAAACACTCTCTATATGTTACTAATTAATATGAATAAATTACCCGTGTTGTAATTGCCATGTTCCATAATTGTTTATGTTTTTACTGTTTAATATTTCTATCTTTAATGGTCATCATACCATCATATGTTTACTCAAAGTGTATTACGACTTGGCTTCTATTTAATATTTTAATTGGGGTAGTATATGAAAGCGGCCTTGTTAAGTTTTTGTCCAATTGTGCTGGAATATTAACTTCTTCATTCGAAAATGAAATGTTTTCAAAATACTCGACGTACGTACATGGATAATTACAATAGCCTTGATAAGAGCTGCTAACTAACTGCCACTAGCTAAGGGATAGAGCTAATCATACGTATGGGATAATTACAAATAATAAATACATATGTTGACCGTATGGGATAATTACAAGGGATAAATATATAATAATAATATTATGATTCAATACGCCCCCGCAAGATAGAGGATCCGTTGGATACTCCTAGCTTGGACCGAAAGAGTTGAAAAGGTGTTTTACTGAGCGGTTTTGTGAGAATGTCAGCAATTTGATGTTTTGTAGAAATATGTTTGACCGCAAGTTGTCCACGCTCAACTAGTTCACGAACAAAAAAGAAATCCAAAGCAAGGTGTTTCATCCGAGAGTGGAATACAGGATTGATGCACACATAAGTAGCTCCCTGATTATCACAAAATAGTTGTGGTGTGGAAGTTAATGAAATGCCCAACTCAGTGAGCAGATTGCGGACCCATAACATTTCTGCACTTGCATTTGCAACAGCCTTATATTCGGCTTCGGTGGATGACCGAGATACCGTTTTCTGTTTGGCAGACTTCCAAGAGATGATATTACCTCCCAAATAGAGGACGTAGGCTGTTGTCGAGCGCCCCCCATCCGAAACTCCCCCCCAATCCGAATCAGAGAAGACGGAGAGTGTTAAGGGTGATGACCGATTAAGAAATAGCCCATGATCCAGCGTACCCTTGAGGTACCGAAGTATGCGTTTTACTCCTTGCCAATGAGTCTCAGTTGGTGCATGCATAAATTGAGAGAGACGATTTACGGCAAAGGAAATATCAGGCCGGGTGAAGGACAAATATTGTAGTAGACCTAGTGTGCGTCGATATTGGGTTGCATCCGCAGGAGAGGTGCCATCCGTGAGGAAGAGGGATGCCTTGGAGCACATTGGAGTGGCTGCCTCCTTGGCACCATTCATTTGACATGTTTCCAGGATATGATTTATGTACTGTCGTTGTGTCAAAAATATGCCATTTGGAGTGGGAATCACCTCAATTCCCAGAAAGTGATGTAACATGCCAAGGTCTTTGACAGAGAACCTGTGAGTGAGTTGGCGGACAAAGGCCTCAATTGCAACTGAATCATTTCCTGTAAGAACAATGTCATCAACATAGACAAGAAAATAGATTAGTGTGCCTTTTGAAGAGTATATAAACAGTGAGGCGTCGGCACGCGATTTTCTGAATCCCACGGAAATAAGAAACCGGCAAAGCTCCATATACCAGGCACGAGGGGCCTGTTTAAGCCCATATAGAGCCTTATGTAATTTACACACATGTGTAGGAAACTGAGAGTCCCGAAACCCAGGCGGTTGGACCATATACACCTCCTCCGTGAGGGTCCCATGTAGAAAAGCATTGTTCACGTCTAGTTGCCGAAGAGACCAATTCCGAGCTAGGGCAATAGATAGTATGATACGGATGGTAGCCGGTTTGGTGACCGGACTAAACGTTTCAGAGTAATCACGTCCTGGTTGTTGTAAAAAACCGCGAGCCACAAGCCGGGCTTTGAATCGGGAGATGCTACCATCTGCATTCCGCTTAATGCGAAATAGCCACTTACATGTTATGGGAGGCTGACTGGTAGCAGGAACCAGACTCCATGTATGATTCCGACTCAAGGCTTGCATTTCATCCTGCATGGCAGCAGCCCATCTTGGATCAGACAACGCCTGCTTCACACTGGTAGGTTCAAGGACTGGGGTAATCGGATGTTTAGTGGTAGCATTGAGGTAGGGTCCACCGATATATTTAGGGTTGGGAACTCGTGATCGAGTTGGTCGGGTGGATGGGTTTATGGTTTGTGGGTTGGGATTTGATGTAGGTGGGGTCGGGTTGGTGGAATTGGGAATAGATGCATTCGTCGGTGATATGACCGAGGTCTGCATGGGAATGGAATTGTTATGGGAGTGGGTAGTGGGGTCTCCAGGTAATTGGGAGGGGTTGATATTTGGGTTACTAAGTGGGGGGGAAATTGACGAATTATGTTGGTTATTAGTGTGGTGCTGAGTGGATAAGGATGAGTTTGGTATAGGTGGAGAAGTGTTAGGAGATAGAATTTGGTAGGTAGGGTGAATTGGCATGGTAGATGGGCACGTGGGGGGATAAGAATTAGGTGGATTTTGACTAGGAAGGGTTGTTGATGATAAGGACGAATGGAGCAAGGTGGGTGGGACCACGGGCGGCAGTAACATGCATGGAGACGAGGGAAACGGGCTGGACACAGACACGGGATGGTGAGATCGAAATGGAAAAATATGATGAATAAACCGTACATGACGACTCGTATAGATTCGATTGGTATTTGGTTCCAGACATAGATAGGCAGATTGAGATAGAGAATAACCAATAAATATACATGGTAAGGACCGAGCATAAATTTTGGAGGTAGAGTATGGACGAAGCCACGGATAACACAAACACCCAAATGGTTGTAACTTTTTGTAATTGGGGTGACGGTTATAGAGACAGAAGTAAGGCGTAGAATAATTGATGGCTGAATTGGGAAGCCGATTAATAAGATATACTGCTGTTTGAAAGGCATAGGGCCAGTATAATTGAGACAGACCAGAATAGTGAAGCAGGGCAAGTCCGGTCTCAACAATATGCCTGTGCCGTCGTTCAGCAATACCATTATGTTCTGGGGTATGAGGTGGTGTGGTGAAGTGAGAGATGCCATGGTGATTTAAATATGACCGTAATTTAATGTATTCACCCCCGTTGTCGGTAAAGAGTGATTTAATTTTACGGTTAAAATAATTTTCAACCAGGCGATGAAATTGAGGAAATACAAGGGACACATCACTTTTATTTTTTATTGGATACAACCAAGTGTACCGAGTGAAATAATCCACGAAACTAACGTAATACCTATATTCATCAATAGAAAGAGTGGAGGTACTCCATACATCACTGTAGATTAACTCAAGTGGATAATTGGCTTGCATAGTATTTAGAGAAAAAGGAAGTTTAGTACTTTTATTAATATGACAAGAGGAACAATGAGACTCGTTCAACGAAATGTTACATGGAATAACATTTTTATTTTGATGGACCAACATATTAAAAATACGACGAGATGGATGACCAAAAATATGATGCCAATGAGACGAAACCGAGACCCTGGAAAGATTGACTTGTGGAGACCGTGGTGACTGGACGTAGTAGACATCATGAATGTTCTCCCCGCGCATGAGCACTGCCCCCGTGGCCCGATCCTTGACAAAAAAATGGGCAGAAAAAAATTCAACAGAAACAGAGTTAGTTTTGCAAAGTTTAGCAACAGAGATTAAATTTTTATTAAGGCTAGGAACACAAAGGACATTGGAGAGAGATAAAGGTCGGGATTTAGTGGCTAGGCTAGTTGAACCAGTGTGAGTAATAGTCAGGGAGTTACCATCACCAAGATGAACCTCATCCGGGCCGCCATAAGTAGAATAAGTCGGAAGATTGGTGTTGTCCGACGTGACATGATGTGAGGCTCCGCTGTCAAATAGCCACTGTTGACCACTGGTCATTGGATTGACCGTCATAGTATGAACCGTTGGTGAGGCAGGATAAGATGATGGAAGAATCTGATTGTTACGTAGGAATTTTTGTAACTTCCTACAATGTTTGACCTCATGCCCGGCAAAATTACAAAATCTGCACACTACTCCATGCGACGAAGAGGGCCTGGACTGTCCGTGGAAATTCCCCCCACGTCCACGACGAGCATGTGGTCCTCTACGATCAACGGGGTGAGAGTTGCGTGAATCTGCATGCATAGCCGAATCAAGTGAACGCCCATTGACCTGCGTGAAATGTGCAGTAGGTACAAGATTTTGTACGGACGTTGCTGCCTCTTGGAGTTTTTGTTCATGCTCCAGAAGAATATCTTGAAGCTCCGCAAGAGGAAGCGGAGTGTTGCGGACCCGAATAGCCGATCTGAGTTCACCGTAATCGGATCCAAGGCCATTGAGAATATTGATGACGAGATCTTCCTCCGAAATGGGATTTTGAGCAAGCGCCAGCGCCTCCGAAATAGCGTACATTTCAGCAACATATTCGGTGATGGATCGCCCCCCTTTTGTGGTCCGAGAGAGGGCTGTTTTGAGGGAGATGATCCTTCCCCGCGAAGTACTCGCATATGTGAGCGAGAGTTTGTCCCAGGCCTGTTTTGCCGTGGCCACGGACGAGATCAAGGGTTGGATGGCATCGGCGCAACTGCCGAGTAATGCACTGATGATAGTGCGGTCTTGACGGTACCAAATGGTATAGCATGGATTAAACTGAGTCTTGGCGGCATCTAAGAATTTGTCCGGGGTAGTGAGGGACCCATCAACGTATCCATCAAGATCAAGACCAACTAGGGCGGAATGGACTTGACACTTCCAGACGGGGTAGTTGGACGTGGTGAGTTTGATGGGAAAGTGGGTTGCCGCCGTAAGGGATACAACCGGAGTGGTAGGGGTGATGATCGTCATAGATGAATCGGAAAAAAAAAATCAAGCTCGTTAGAGAAAGGCTCTTGATACCATGAAGAAGTATATGAAAAGTATTGTATTGATTGTATATACTCGACGTACGTACATGGATTATATAGGCTTACAATAGCCTTGATAAGAGCTGCTAACTAACTGCCACTAGCTAAGGGATAGAGCTAATCATACGTATGGGATAATTACAAATAATAAATACATATGTTGACCGTATGGGATAATTACAAGGGATAAATATATAATAATAATATTATGATTCAATAGTATATGAAAGCGGCCTTGTTAAGTTTTTGTCCAATTGTGCTGGAATATTAACTTCTTCATTCGAAAATGAAATGTTTTCAAAATAGAAGGTTATTATGGGGTGATTGAATATGTGAATCATAAGATTAATTTTATAAATGCTACCATTAATTATTAATTATAAAATGGTAAGTTTTTTTTTTTTCAATTTACGACCAGTCCGTATACCTTGGGAGCGGCCCATCTTAAGCATCGTACACCCGCAGCCAAAACGACGTAGCATTACATTAAAATACATTTAATTAAAAAAATTAACCGCACGCGAACCAACGGATCGCTTCCCACCTTTTCCCTCCAGCGCTTATGCTCTCCACTCCCGATGTCATGACATTTACGCCTCTTCGAAATCCAAAAGTTTACTTTCTGAAAAATCTTTCGCTCTGCATTTCTTCTGAAGCAAGTTCGACGAGACGAAGTTATTTTTGAAACAAATCTCTACGAAGAACACAAGAGGTTAAGCAAAGGATTCCACCGCAACAACTTGCGCAACAAGTTCAGCGCAAAATGGTTAGGGTTAAGGGAAAATCGGATGTCAGGTATAAACTATAACATCGACTCAAACATTAATCAATGCTATTAACGTTCTCTTATGAAAATATGTATATTATGAACTGAAATGTGTTATATGCATGTAAATACAAGCAAAGTAATTTTTGTTACATAATGTGCATCTGGCTGTGTTTAAAAAGTCAAAATACCTGATGTTTACTTAAGTTATCAAGTATATAAACTCTATAAAGTATTATTTGAATGCAAATGTTGTCCAGAGATCATTATTCAAAGTGCTTGTGCATGGTGTAACTTCATTGAGTACTTATGTAACTTCTGTATGATAATATATAACATGGTTAGAGGACAAAATACATATTCCACTTCTGTAAGCTTTATGTATATTTATGGTATGAAGTATGCACACTCTGTCCCTTACTATGTCCCTGCAAGTATTGGAGTCATACTTGATTAATGAACATCTTGTGTAAGTTGTAAGTACAGATAGAATTTATGTAACATAAGTATATTAATATGTAACTTTTGTAATTGCTTAGTTACATGTAACTTTGGGATGTAACTTATGAAATTAGTGTATAATATCATGTAACTTATCTAAATTAGTAATTATAAAATTGAATTTTTTAATGGTATATAACCAATGTAAATATTTTGTTATAAATTATGATAGGAAATATGTAAACTATATGCTTTTGTATGTGATTTGGCATGTGCTCGCGTGTAAGATATTTATGTGGACTTGAGTAAGTTTTAAAATATAGAACCAAATCACATCCAAGGGCATAACATGTAACTTTGAGCTATAAATTATGTAGCTGCTGTATAATATTATGTAAATCATGCCATGTGTTATATAAATTCATAACGATAAGTTAAAGTGATAATGACTTGTGAATGTTATTCTGTACTCCCTCTATCCCATTAGACTTTGCCAACTTTCCCTTTTTGGTTGTCCCAAAAAACTTTACCACTTTCCTATTAAAGCAATTAATATGTGGTTCTACACATTTCTCTCCTCTCTGCACAAATCTCAACCACACAGTTTTTACTATTCTTATTTTTCACATACTTTGCACTTGGCAAAGTCCACTGGGATAGAGGTAGTATAATTTTAGGAATACAAGAAGCACAAGAAGAAGTGCAAGAGCAAAGAATGACAGTTTTAAACTGGAAGATGCTGAACCGTTACAGAGTCAAGAACCATTGCAAATGTTGACTTACGACAATCCAACAACTAGCAGAAAAAGAAAAACAGTTGTAGTAACGCATGAAGAATCAGAAAAGCATGATGAAGAAATAGATGGAAACACTCATGTCAACTTAAGAACCAGAGTAGGACTAGCTCCATTTATCAAGTTGGTTAAACTCCTGGATGAAAATCAAAGAGCTGTAGTTGAAGATATTGGCTTTGGAGGCTTGCTCAACCTAAGCTTTGACAGATTTCATGGAGACTTTGTAGAATTTCTATTGAAAAGCTTGCGACCAATATCAGCACAGCTACAACTCACTAATGGGGAGTTGTTGGATATTGCAGATCAATGGGAAAGATTGATGTTGAAGAAGCAAATGGCAAAAACGAAAGTGAAGAGTATATTCAATTGCTGAAGCAGTGGAGAGAGGATTGGGGAATTGAAAAGGGAAGTCCGGACACCACAAGGATGATACAAAAAATCATTGATGATGGTGATTCTGGAGATCAATTCAAGAGAAATTTTGTCGTCTTCACAGTTTCATACCTCATCAGAGGTAATCAGAGTATAAAGAGCAACTTCAAGATCTTTCTCTCTTTGATAAAAGTTGATGAAATCAAGAATTTGAACTGGTGCAAGTACACAAGGCGATCACTAATGGATGCTGGGGAAGAATGGCAAGCTCATCCATCAAGGATGTTCACTGGACCCTTGTTGTTTCTGATGATATGCTACTTCGATAGAGTGCAATTCAAAGGCCAAGCTATGGATACTGTTTATCCAACAATCAGAATCTGGAACAAGGAAAGAATTGAAAAGAGAATCAAAGATGAGAGGAAGCTGGGGTTCGGGCTCGGGAAGGTGATGCCACGAATCATGCTAGCTGATGAAGAGAAAAAAGAAACAGAAGAAAATGAAGAACAGAATGAAGATGAAGAGATGATCTCTAAAGAGGTAAATTTTAAATAAACACTATGTGTAGATTACTTGCTTTACAGATGTAACTGGCACAACACAATGTGCAACCTCTGAAAATGTTAAATATAAACGTTGAAGTTATTGCTTATATTTTATATCTAACTAGTAAACCCACCCGTGCGATGCACGGTCAAAAAATTTTCCTTAATTTATTTGTGCTCACTAATTCAAATTACACTATTTATTGATGAGAGCAATAAACATAACATCCAACAAATACTTATAATATATATTATAGTTAAAAAGCGAGCACTAAGCATTACTTAAAAGATAAAAAACATTCAACAAATACTTATAAACCATAACATTGTAAATATACATTTCATGTAACCCTAAATATTGATGAATACTTTTAGAATACAACATTCTGAGTCTTGTCAGTGGTTCCTTCTTCTTCATCAATACCCGTGCGATGCACATTGGTGAAATTTCGTGGGTATAATTAACATTAGCCAACATTTTAATTAAAAAATAAACAAACTTGTAATTTTAATTGAATTGTTTAGAATTATACTCCATACAATAATAAAACTTGACATAAATGAAACATCTAAAATACAATTTCTAATGGTTACAGAGTAGTACATTAATTTTTATAGCCCACAAAATAGTAAGTAACACGCAATATAAACATTATTTGAAAACAAATTACATTTCATGGCAAATTTTATGAAACACTTCTTTGTACATTCTGTCTAGCATTAACCCTTGTTAGGAGGGAAATTACAATAAATAGAACAAAAAAAGTTCTATGTATTCCAAAATTGGACCTTAAGCATGACAATATTTTTCAAACTTGACATTAATTACGTCTATTTTGGCCATAAAAATATGACAATCTTATTTTGGAATTCTCAAATTTATTTACTCATATTCAAAATTTTTCCCTTATTAAAATCCTTCATTCAAGTAATTTCTTGACAAAGATTTTTTTCATTTTCAAATCAAAGGTCTATATATGTTAACTGAAGGTATAAATTTTTATAATTACTAAATAATATGGTGACATTACATCTATACGAATTGCATTATATAGACGAATTGCTGATGTAACCTGGCAAATCAGGGGGGTGCATATGTGTGAAAATGTGTTATGTCTTTATCTATACGAATCGCATTATTTAGACGAATTGCTGATGTAACCTGGCAAATCAGGGGGGTGCAAATATGTGGAAATGTGTTATGCCTTTATCTATACGAATTGCATTATTTAGACGAATTGTTGATGTTACCTGGCAAATCGGGGGGGGGGGGGGTGCAAATATGTGAAAATGTGTTATGTCTTTATATATACGTATTGCATTATTTAGACGAATTGTTGATGTAATCTAGCAAATCAGGGGGTGTGCAGATATGTGCAAATGTGTTATGTCTTTATCTATACGAATTGCATTATTTAGACGAATTGCTGATGTAACCTGGCAAATCAGGGTGTGCAGATATGTGAAAATGTGTTATGTGTTTATCTATACGAATTGCATTATTTAGACGAATTGCTGATGTAACCTGACAAATCAGGGGGTGCAGATATGTGAAAATGTGTTATGTCTTTATCTATACGAATTACATTATTTAGATGAATTGTTGATGTAGCCTGACAAATCAGGGGGGTGTGCAGATATGTGAAAATGTGTTATGTCTTTCCTAAACTATAAATAAATATAAATTTATGAGAAAATCTTCAAATAAGTATTTATACATATTTTTTTTAGGTATATATGTATATACTTTTTTAAATGATTACATAAATACGATTAAAATAAAGGTTGTTTATGAAAATGTGATATATTAAGCATAGTTACTACGGTCGAAATACTTTTTTACATCTTCCAACTTTTTTTATATCTAAATTCACCAAAACAAAATTCATCCCAAAATTATTCAACTTCATTCTTCTTTAGAGAAATTGCACTTTCTCTAAATGAAAGGAAAATGAAATAGAAATTGTCTTTACATTACAAATTTAGTATCATTTATATCATTTATAATGACACAATATATGCGCGGATGACTTGCCATGAAAACATCTTGCCACCACCATCTTGCTTGTTAATCTGTTCCCCTAATACAGAAATGTTTAAATTACAATTATTTGTGTTTTATACGTAATAAAACTTTTAAAATAGATTTCATAAAAAATTGTAATCATCATCATTACCCCCAGTGCCGCAAAGGCTTCCACCTACGGTGGGGTAAGGGAGGTGAGATGTACACAGTCTTACCACTCTACCAAAGCATAGAGAGATTGATTTCGAATGATCCATAGTGAATATCAGGACGAAAATTGCATAAAGTGACCCATAGTGAAAAACTTTATTATAACATAGTATTTCACTAATACATATTACTATTGGTATATATGTGAACTTTGATATTACTAAAATAAAATTATTAAAATATTATTAAAATAAAATTTATCTATAAATATCACTAAGAATTATGGAGTACTGAAATGTAGTGTCATTGTAACTTAATTTTTAAAATTGAACATAAGTTACTATGATTTCATTATTACTTTGATCATTAGTCACATTTTTGCAAATAATCTTTATTTTAATTTATTAACATGTACTACCTCCGTCCCATTTATATTGTCCCGGAAGAGAGTGACACGGTTATTAAGAAAAGTGGATTTGTGTGGTTGATATTAATTGATAAAGTAAGAATAAAGTAAGAATGATTTAGAGATTATGAGTGAGAGGGTGTGGGATTCCGGCGGTGGGTGCCGCCAACTCATGCGACCAACTACAGAGTTCACCACCGGACAAAATCCCTAGCGGTCCGAGATATCATGAAAACCGGTCTTGGGTCACATCTGGCCACGATATCTGGCGTATACCCAAACGACTCTGGCGCTCTTCCGATCAAGGCTTGAAGAGCTTCCGCCCGTACAACAGGTATTTGCAACTGAGGCAAACAGACATTGATATTATAGTGGACAAGATCCTAGCTTCTCTGGCAGGAAGGGGAACCGTAGCCACCAACATAGGAGTCTTGGCCAGCCTTCCATTTGCAGGGGTTCTTTCAAACCCAGGAGTTGAACGTACAGATCAATCAAAAATTTGCACGTGTAGGGCAGCTCATACAAAAACTTTCAAACCAGAAGAGCAATCTGCTGGAGCTCGTAAGCTAGGCTCCACGCATCGTCCAGGCGTGAGTTACCCCAACTCTTGCCAAAAAGACAGCAAGCTTGATCGGAAAATTGCAGGTGGTGGAAGTCACAGGGATCACCCTACGAAGCAGGCGACCGGAGAAGATGGCCGGAAGAACAACGCCAAAGTGTCCGGCAATCAATCGGTTAAAATTTCTTCGGATCCGGATTTGGAGCCGGTCACGGTCCAGACGATGGGTCTTCAGGCTGCTAGCTCCAATGGCGGTCACCGAGAGGACAAAACTCCGGCAGCACAAATTTCTTCTGGTAGCATAGACATGGGCCGAGGTCGTTCGTACGGCTCCTCCTGCAGGATGCATCTCCCCCCACCCTTACAGATCCACACATGGTCTGCTCAACCCCACATCTTACATCTGGGTGTCGACCCAACTTCCGACAAATAATTTAGACAGGGGGGCCTCTTCAATTTCAGATTTGCAGGTGCAATCTATGGGCTGTGAGATGAACGGTCCAACCGAGTTTCAAAATATTGGCAAGGAGATGGTTTTATTGGAAGAATCTGATAAATTCTTTTTTTCTCCAGGATGGTTACGATTCAACTAAAATTGAATCCAAAACCTTTAAAATTGCCATCAGCAATTTACAGCTGTCAATCTTTGAAATTAAAAACAGAGGTTTGCGAAAATATCATTTACTTTGGACTCGGCTATTTGGCTAAGAGATTCAATTTCGGGCTTTCTTCGTACAAGACCGAGATTTTTTTCGAAAAACAGTTGGCCCTTGAAGATCAGTCTTGAGGGAAATAAATTTGGAGAGTTTTTTGCGGATTTCTCAATCCAGTGAGCGTTTTCTGATCATCCCCTGTAGGAAAACATTTTTCAGGTCTAACTGCTTTTTTCGAATTACTAGATAATGTGTTACAAAATTCAGGGTATACAACACCGGATCCTCTTACTACTTGCCAGAGTCGAAGCATGGATGAGGTCACTTCAATATCCAAGCTTCTTTTTCGAGCCGATTTGGAAAGACTTGAGGCCACGAGATCAAAAGAGCAGGTTTTAATATCTGGAGATATAGATGTGCACAGGGTTTTGGCTTATTCTGAACATTCGGACAGGTTCTTCTCGGGGTATGAATTTCAAGTCACGCATCAGAAAGTGATAAAAGGAAACCGCTCTCGACTATGGAGGATCTCTGGGGACTCGGACACAAACAAAGATATTTGTTTCAAATCCAAGCTGGTTACTAAGGAAAATTGCCTACCGACAAGCAATTTAAATACCCAGATTAAAATCTACCAGAAAAAAAAGAAAAATCGGCGATTGCACTCTATGAGAACCAGATCTCAATCTCGAGGTTTCGGGGAGGACACGATGGATGATGATTGGAGCAGTTCCGAGGGCTTTTTTTCTTAATTCTCTTGTTTGTTTTTTCATTGTATCTTTCTTATCATTTCCTTGCTTTCCTTTTCACTGTAACATTTCTTGTTATTTTAATAAAACTTTTCAAAAAAAAAAAAAAAAAAGCATGAAAAAAAAAAAAAGTAAGAATGATTTAGAACCACACAAACTTTGCCAAATATGGTATGAGACAATTTAAGTGGGACTTTCCGAAAAGGTAAAACGGGACAATATAAATGGGACGGTGGGAGTAGTTATTTCTAACTATAAATCATTATGGAATAAGGAGTAGTTTTTAGTTAAAACCAAATATAGCTAACTCATATGTGAGTAACTAGGGTACGAAGTATTTCTTTAACAAAAACCCTAAGCCCCTTCCATTTAAATGGGCCAGGAATAAAATAGCCTATTATTTGTGAGTATGTCAAGCCCATAAAATACACCATGTATCATTAAAACATAGAAGTCCCTTTCTAGAAGGAAAACTCTGATCTCTTCCTAGCAAGCCAATCGATCAACCGGCTAACCCCAAACACATCTTCATACGCCGGTCATCAAAAAAGGTAGTCACGCATATTCAGCCTCCTTTGCGGAATATTCAGCCATTTCCCTACTGATTCTGCACTAACATATTCAGCCGCCATTCATGAATCCACCATGTCCACCTCCTCTGCCGAATTCCGCCGCGTCTGCTGCTCTTAAAAACGGTAATAACACAATCCCCCAACTACACCCAACCATCTCACCAATTAAAGGGTTTTATGACAACCTAATCATAATTTTATACAAATCACCACGTTCACAACCCACAGATCTAGGCAGATATGTGTATACGGTTCATTACATTTTTTATTCTTT